GAGAGAGAGAGAGAGAGAGAGAGAGAGAGAGAGAGAGAGAGAGAGAAATGCAGAGAGACATTAAGAACAAGGACCAAGAGAGAAAAAGACCAAGTGTGCCTGCAATAGTGGAGCTCCTAGGCCAGGGGGTTGCCTTTGGTCCTGAACTTCCGGCTGATTCAGCGGTATGGCTGATTGGACAGTACGTAAACAGGATACAGCAGTATGCAGATGGAACAGGAGCAACATGACTCTTCCCCCAGCCACCTGCATCCCTTGTGCAGGAAAGCAGACTCTGACCAGCTGTCATCTATTTTTCCTGTGTCCAGAACAGGCAAAAGATATGTCTGCCTAGTGAGACATGGCTTAGAAACAGAGGTTAGGGAGGATGACCCACCTGTCTGAGGAAAGAATAGGCAACATCAGTGTAACAGCTTTGAGGGGCTTAAAAGATTGTCATCATCCCAGCAATTACCAACACCCTCCAAGAAGTAGGTTTTCAGCCACCCTGTCCCCACGGTGTTTCTGGAGAGAAAAGGGGGAAAAGAGATGAAATATCTGTCAACAAGAATGGACTATAACCTTATCCTTAGTGGGGATCTGGCAATGTCAATGGCTTTACCAGGAAAGGAGCGTCAGGGGACCCTGTCAGGATCCTAGCAAAGCCTCAACTTACTCCATCCACTCTACACCCTTGAAAAACGTCACACTTGAGGGATGTTTAGGGGAGACAATCTGTTTATTGTAGCAATAGATCCAAGCAATAAGAAACTCAATCTGCTCCAAAAAGCAGACACATCACAGCAGTCGGGTCACAGAGGACCATTTAAGTTTCTCTCCACATCACCTCTTCCAACCACCATGTAGCAACATAAAACCTTGAGTGCATAAGTAGTTGGGTTTCCCCCTCCAAGTGCACAAAGAGCAATAAGAACATTCCATAATTTGCCTTTGGTGAATCAACTCAAAACACTGAGAAATGATTGTTTCCCTCCCCAATGTAACTTTTGGGGTGGATGTAATGAGATGTTTTATATCTGTATATATAATATATCTATACCTCTACATAGACTATGTACAAATGCATTAGCAAGCTTCAATAAAGGAACACATCAGCAAGAGGTACAGCAAGAGACACAGGCTGTCTATCCTTAAGACATAAGTAGGAAGGAAAATTTCTTGAGTCATCACGTGTTCCAACTGCACCAAGCCGTTCCTACGACTTGGGACGATCGTTTTGGACCTGGCCAGTATTTTCCATTGTCCATCTGCTTAACCTGACCTTGGAAATACTTATCAGCCCAACCTCCCCAAGGAGACTCACAGGGAGAAATATGGATCCAATCAGCTTTTCCTTTTTATACATTGGGAATAACTGTGATTAGTCCATAGCTAGGGGGTAGATATTTCCGAAGCCAGCTCCAAGGCACCTCAAGGCATTTCAGTCCTGAATAATTGTGCTTTGTTCTTATAAGCTAAATCCCATGGGTTGGCCAGCCCATCACTCTTTATAGTGGCCCTTAATTAGGAGGAAGAGACAGATAGGAGGTTTCAAAGGAGCAGGAGAGGCAGGGGCAGTCGAGAAAACCAGCTGACTTAACCCCGCAGAATGCAGTGGTGGGAATACACAGCCAGAAGTGGGGCTTGAACCCCAGTGTGCAAGAAAAGGAACAGCTTGCTGGTATAAACTAGAAAGCAGGGTAGAGAGGTGGCTGCTGTGGAAACATCTCACCGCTTTCCTACCTCTATTCACAGAAGATTATTTTGTTCCCAACCTCATTGCCCTGGGAGAGGCAGCTCTATGAGACTTCTGGAGGAGATTCTAAGAAGCTTGAGAAGAAAGTGCAAATAAGGATGGGCACCTGGGGCAAAGTGGTTCCTGGCCCATCCCCATCTGCTCTGACCCCTGAGGCCCATGGAGAGGCCTTGCCCTCCCGAGGCCCCACTGGGTCAGGGCAGAGAAGAGAAGGAACCCAGGAGACTTGGGCTTCTTTATGGAGAGCTAGGACTTCTTAGAATAAACCTAGGGAATCCTACGAATAATTCCCCTAAATATTATGAGTCCTGGAAAAAGAGAAGTGCCCAGAATCAGCACAGATCCTCGCTCATCCTGGGAGAAGAGAGCACTTGAAAGGTTGCCAAAAAGTGAAATCTGCAAACTGCAGAAGTGTATGACAACCACCCTTGGTTTCAGCTGGCATGAGGTGTCCACGACCCACCTTCTCCTTTTAGCTGGTTGGCTTGCAAGATGGGCAATGTCTGCCTGCCCCAGGCATCCTGGTGGCTTAGACTACCCACCATTGTCAGTGTGTTGATTGGCAGTTAGGTACTGAGCCCAAGAGTTAGAATTTCCATGTGGGCTGGACCCACCTCATTCAGGCTCTATCTGGCTGGTCGCCCATCCCCCACTTTGCCTGGCCTCTCCACCCTCTTCCCTGTTTTATCTTCCTTCTTTCCTTCCTTTCCTCCCTTCCCAGGGCTCAGATTCTGGACTCTCTTCTTTCTTCTCCAACTCCAGCCCTGGAAGCAGTGGCTGTACAAGTGGAATTAGATGCACCAAAAATATTAATCTTGATCCCCACAATGCTGACCTGGCAGTTCCCAACTCTGGTATGGCTTTGTGTATGTCCCTGTCACCTGACACAGTGCCTGGCACATTGGAGATGCTCAATAAATGGATGTTGAATAGAAGTGAGTTAAACTGAATCTCCCATATGCAACTGTTCACTCCCCAAATTGACCATCTGTTGGGCAGAGGCAGAGAATGGTCCCTGAGACTGTCACAGTTCTGTCCCCACGCCCTTTACCCAGACTCATTCCTGTCCTGGGCTCTGACTCCCTGAGCCTGGGCAGGACCTGAGCTCCCAGAAAGTTTGGGAAATGTGAAGAGGCTCAGCCTGGCGTAGGGGATGGGGCATTGCCAGCAGCAATGTCCTCACTCCCATCACTCCACCCTACCTCAGTCACAGCACGGAGGGGCTGGGTTCCTGGGAGATGAATGAGTAGGGCTGGATGAGTGCGCCTCCTTCACCTCACCTCCTTCCTCTACCACAGAGGCCCCTCCCACTGGGACAACTATGGCTCTGGTGATTCAAACTGGAGACTGAGGAGCCAGAGGAGAAGATGGCAGGACTCTCAGTTTCCGTCAGTTTGAACCTCAGTTTCCTCACCTGTCCTATGAGCGACTTGGCAGGTTGATCTCTGCAGGGCTTCCAAGGTAGTGTTCTCCACGTCTGCAGTTTCTTTCTCTGTCTCTCTCCCTCTCGTGAAATTCCCTCTTAATGTGAGTAAAATGGCAGTGAAAGTTGGCTCCCCACAAATGCTGCTTTCCTCCTCACAAAAGAGTTGTTAGGGCCAGGGAGCAGTAACATGGCTTTCGTGCTTCCCTCAGGGCATTCCCTTTTCTGGTCTCTAGCCAAAATCCAGATGAAAACTCTGCTGAGGGGAACCAGACAAGTCTGAAGGGAAGCTCCGAATGGTGCCCCCACTCCACACATCAACTTCTCTGCCCGTGGCTTCCATCCCCTTCTCATCTCTGCACCTTGACTGCTCCTGGCGGTCATCCTGCTCCAGAAGGCAGCCTGCAGCGAATTCCAGTTTACAATGGAGCCCCACCCTGTCAGTCCCCCGGCCTATTGAAATGTGTCTCCTGTTGGTAGGCAACTGTGATGTAAAACAACCACTACCTCAAACAACACAACCCACCCCTGGCCCAGCTCAGGGTCTCTTCAGTGCTATTCTCACCAAAAATCTCAAAGGATTAGCAGTCAATAGAAAACCACAAGTCTTCTGTGGTAGCAGCCATCCATGGAGGAGAGGGTAAAAACAGAGCTCCCTGGCCTACGGCTTGCTTGCATTTGCCCCCAGGCTCAGCTTTTCATCAAAGCCCAGGAAATGCACAGTTGTCCCTTTGACATGCTCCACCCTCAAGTTTTAGGAACCTATCACTAGAGCAGCTCAGGGAGCAGAGCAATGTCCCATCGCAAGCTTTGTGGCAGCACAGGAAAGTCCCTCTTCCACCCACAGGTCCCCTCTAAAGCAACCACCAGATGAGTCCAGGCACTGGGCAGGCTGGACAGATGACCCCCTCCTCCACCACTGCCCGCCTTCTGTCTTCTCCCTGGGACCTTCACACATGTCTTCTGCCTCCTCTCAGGGACTGACAGTTTTGAACCCACTTCTCCCTCCCCCCAGGGCCCACATGTCCCAGACACCATGGCAGGTTTCTCAAATGAAAGAGAGGTGAGTCACTCTTGGTGCAGGGTGGGAGATATGAAGTGAGGGGTTCAGGAGGCCCCAGGTCAGCCCTAGGTTCCTGGTTCAAGAGAAGCACACCAAGAGAGGGCAGGCAGGGGCACACTGTGCAGGGCAGAGAAGGGGGAAGACAGGACATGAGGGAGAGCCGCAGGGCCAGCCCCCGTTACTTGGCGCCATCGTCCGCATTGCCTTCTCCATCTGTCTTGCCCTCCTCCTCCGTCTTCAGGTCATCCGTGCTCAGTTTCTGCTCTTTTTTCCTCCTTACACACTTCACCACCATCAGCACCAAGATGACCACAGCCAGGAAACCCCCCACGGAGGCGCCCACAATCACTGCCACCGTGGAATCCCGCTCAGGGGACTCTGGAGAAGGAAAAGAAACAGACCTGCTGAGCACTAGATCTGGAAGAGGGTTTTGTCCACTGTCCCCTGCTCCTGCAGTATGTGTGGGGTTGTCCTGACTTTACTCCCCTCCGTGGAAAGAACTTCAGTCAAAGCCAAAAATCAACCTAGGCCAATGACCTCTAAGCCCCCCACCCCAAAGTCCCAGGGCAACTAAAGCCCCAGGGGAGGGCTGTATAATAGTATTTAAGAGCATGGACTTTGAGATCACATGAATCCAAATTTGAATCCTGATTGTACTATTTATTAATTGCATGACCATAGATAACTTACTTATCCTCTCTAAGCCTTAATTTCCTCATCTGTAAAAATGGGGATAAGAATAGTACCTCCCTCATAGGGTTTTATGACACAAGATAATGCATATGTAGAGTTTAGCTTTATAACTGAGACATAGTAAGTGCCCAATAAATGAAAGCTGCTGTAAGAGTCTTAAGACCGTAATCATGATCAATAGCATTATAAGGATTCTCTGAGACATGTTCCCAGGTCCCAAGGACTGGAGGAAAGAAAACAGATTCCTTGCACCCAGCACAAGCTGTTGCTCCTGCCCCCTACAGCCTCTCCAAAGGAGTCCTAAGCTAATGCTACTCGAGAGCAATTACTTGGGTGGGAAGGGTTCAGGGGCCCATACAGCAGCTCAGCTCTCCCCACTCTGCCTGCCCGGCCCTCACCTTCCATGAGGACCTGCAGGTAGATCTTGCCGTGGCCTCGGTGGCGGTCAGGCGGGTTCATGATGTAACAGTTATACAGGCCCTCATCCTCGATCTGCACATTTTTTAGTGTCACTGAAACATCATATTTGCTGGGGTTCCCCGAGAACTCCACGCGGTCTCGGAAGCGCTCCAGCTTCAGGTTAATGATCTTCATGCGGAACTGGAGGAACTAGAGGTAGACAAGGGAAAAGATGGGGGTGTTGGATGAGCAAGGAGCTACACAGACAGCAGGATGCCCCTCCTCCCAGGCACCCCTTTACCCAAAAGCGAGGCAGTTACCTCCAGATCTCCGCCACCCTCCCAAGGGCCACCAAACCATGACAACACACCTTCTGCCAAAGCCCTCTGGAGCAGACAGCCCACTGCAGGGCAGGTGGTGGGAAAGGTAGGCCTCACACAGCAGGGCTCCTGCCTCCTCCCCCACCCCAGGACTCACCATCTCCTCGGAGCAGTTATTACACTCCTGGTAAGTCCAGTTCAGGGAGAACTGTTTGTGGTTCACTGTGTAGCAGGAGTTGAAGGTGCAGGCCAGGCGGGCATCAGAGCCATTGAGCACGTTGAGGGTATTAGGTACTGTGACTTCCATGGTCCGCCCTGGTGGCACTGTAGACAAAGCCACAAGCTGGTGAGGATTCTGGCTGATAGGGGCAGGGAAGGGGCAAGTCTATTGCATCTGGTGGAGACTGGAGCAGAGCTATGGCAGCGGGTCGGGTCCCTAACAGCTGAAATTAGTCATGGGGCGGGATGGGGTGGGCAAAGCTCATAAGGGGTAACTGATGTGGCCCTGGGGGTAAAGTGAGGGTCAGAGCAAGGCTGGGGTAGGCAGAGAACAAATCATCTGTCAAACCAGGGACAGACAAATGGCCCCAAACCTTCTCCAGGACCATTGTTGGGCAGTCCCTCCACGTGGCCATCCTGCTCCAGTCCTGACATTGCTACCTGCGAGCTGAAGACCTTGAACAAGGGACTTCACTGTGCTGGCTACAGTTTCCCCCCTTCTTCCCCACCACTTCCAACCATCTCTGCTAAGCCAAAGCCCTTCCCATTGAAGCTATAGTGTCCCCCATGGGGCAGGCAAGCTTGAAGACAAATGACGGTTCAGAAGGCCTCGTACTCCACACCCTAGGACCAGAGCAAAGAGTGTGTCCAGCTCAGCCCCACTGTCACCCCCAGGCTTTGGGAGGCAGGAAAGAGGGCATTCGAGCGGTGGGAAGGACGATGTGCCCCAGAAGAACAGACACAATTCCAAGGGACCACATGATGGGTCTACAAGGACAAGAGTCTCTTTAGGAGATGTCAGACCTGAAAACATCACAGCAGAGAGCTGATACAGGCTGACGGAGCGGCAGGGTAACAAGAGGTTTCTGTGGAATTCTATAAGGAATGTCAGACTTGGTTCAGGAGAGCCAGGTGCTGGGGCTTGAGCAAGGCCCTTCCCATTCTGACATTCTAAGCAGGGCAGAGGCAACGAAGCCAAAACCCTTCTAGCTGAAGCTGCAGTGCCCTGCGTGGGACAGAAAGCCTGCAGTGCAAAATTTAAGAGGTCACCCACTCGTAGGATCATGCAAATACCTCTTTAAATTTTGCACCCCAAGCACCTCATTTGCCTCACCCTAGTCCTGGCCTTAAGTCTAAGATCCTCTGCCAATAGTGTCAAAAATCTCATCCCAAAAGATTAATTTATTTATAGCGGACAAACGATAATGTTCAGCATCAATCATTCATTCACTGATTTACCAAATATTTATCAACCACCGATTATGCCCTTAGTCTAGGCCCTAGGGGATAGTGTCATGACCAAGACAGGTGACGGCGTTGCAACATGGAGCCTGTATTCTAGGGCGGGGACAGACGTTAACAAGGAAAAATAATAATAATATGACTTTAGATAATGATACATGGCAAGGGTTGTAAAGAAATAAAGCAAGGTAAGGGGGTGTTGTTTTATGTCTGTGGGCAGGGAAGACTGCCGTGAGGGGGTGACATGTAGGCAGCCCCCAACTGAAATGAGGAAGTGAGCTGTTTGAAATTTTGAAGGAATCAAGTTCAAAGGCAGCAGAACATCAAGAGGAAAGTCCCAGAGGCTGGAATAAGCTTTGTGTGTCTGAGGCACAAGGAGGAGAGTGATCTAGGGGGCCAATGATGAGACCTCAGGTCCTAGAGTCAGGCAGGGACCAGGTCACAGGTCTGTGGGCCAGAACACAAAGTTAGGATCTCATTCTTTGGAGTGAAACAGGAAGTCACTAGGGATTGGGGGCAGCTAGGAGGCTGTCCAGGCCAGAGCTCTGGGAATATTGTAGATATGAGAACTGATTAAAACCGGGTTCAATCCCAGCTCTGCCTTCAATCAGATGTAAGACTGTGGGCAAAGTCTTTCACCCTCTAAGCCTCAGCCCCCTCTCTGTAGAACACAGCTGATGACACCCACCTCCCAAGGTTATTAAGATCATCAAATAAGATAAAATATATAAAGCACAGTGTGCAGTCTGCCTGGCAGTAAGTGCTCAGCAAATGGTAGCTCTCATTATCCTAAATTCTTCTCAAGTTCTGCCCCCCTAAACAGGAAGCGCTTCTGGGGCAGTCTCCTGGCAGGGGGCACCTTGGGGCATAGGCGCTACCCCTTCAGGGCTCTTATTTTTCAAAGTGTCTTATGCAAAGCTGCTGGGCCCCACCCCAGAAGCAGCTGCACTGCAGCCTGGAAGTGGAGATACACAGTCCTTCTGCTCAGCCCATCTCTTAGGATGAGTAGGCAGGGCCAGTAGGCAGGACTTAAAAACAGGAGATGCTCTGAACTACTGGCCCCAGAGGTCATAAACGAGCCTTAGACAGAGGGATGGGGGAATAGGCATGCAGACCTACCTGCAAGGCCAAGGCTTCCAGGTGTGCACTGACGTGCTCATTAGGGAAGGAGGAACTGGGGCGGGGGACCGGGGAGGGGGGGGGGATGAGTGGGCCCACCAAGAACAAAGCCCAGTTCCCCTCTCCCCACTTTCACAGCCATTATGAAAGCACCTAGCACAGCTCCAGTCAAGGAGGAGGTGTGCGGAAAATGTCATTACCACTCCCACTCTGCAGAGGCAGAGAAATCTGCAGGGAAGGAGCCTGGCAGGGCCTTGTCCTGAGCTTACCTCATCTCTCAGGAACTCCCCGCTTCTCTAGCACCTTCCCTTGAAAAGATCTGCTACCTGCCCAGAGCCGCCTTCAAAAGGAACGCCCAAATGGCACCAGGAAGTAGGTGCTGTGAGTCTGGCTAATCCATCCCTGGCCTCTGTCCCACCCCAGCCCACGGCATTATTCCAGTTAGAACTTGAACCCCACCAAGCAGCACCCTCCATATTAAAGAAGCCGGCACCCTGACTCGTAGAAAGGCAGTGCCATGGGGAGCAAGGGGCCTTTTGTGGCTGGCAGGAGGGTGGCAGACGGAAGGGTGCAATGCAGGTTCCCTCCCCCTCATCCTAACAGTGGGGTCCTGCAGGAAGCACCAGGTGGAACACGCGTGCCCTCTACTGGTCAGAGAGGTCAACCACCAAGTCCCAACTGCAGAGTAAAGGAACAGGGAGTCACCAAGTCAGAGGAAGCCAGAGGGGGGAACCCCAGGAATTACATATCTAGGCCCATTGTCTTACCAATGGGGAAAGTGAGGCATGAGAGAGACATACAAGAGGATGAGAGAAGCTGGGACCAGAACCATGGTTCCTACTCCTAGTCCAGGTTGCCCACTTCAGCCTGAGTTCTCACCAGGATCCCAGGCTCAAGACAAGGGCCTTATTCCTTTCACCAATCCAGGCCCTCATTAAAGACAAGGAAACCATCGCAACGAGGTCAGAACTGTGAGTAAAATCTTGGTCTCTTGATGAACTCTACTGCTTCAGGAAAGTAGCCGAATCTACAGCTAGGGCCACAAAAGGACGTCATAATAAGAACAAAGTGCTTACTGTGTGCTAGGCACTGTGTTGAAGCACCCTGTAGCTATTACCTCATTTAATACTCACAACAACACTATTACATCTCCACTTTCCAAGTGAAGAAATTGAGCACAAAGCAGTTAAATGAATAGCCTAAGTTCATAGCTAATAACTGGCAAAGTTAGATGTGATCCCAGGCTGCAGGGCTCCAGACAGAGGGTTGAGAGGTTGAGGCTAAGTGGGGATGTGATCGTTTCTCCAAAGCCTCCTGCTGTCTACATGGCAGATCCAGCCCCCAACTCTAGGCAGGCTGGCCAAAGGGGAATGGTTCTACTTAAAAGAACCTTCATACAAGAAAAGCCCAGTCTTCCTGGTTGTCCATTTGGGAAGAGGTCTGAATCCTGGGTCTCCTGAATTCCAACTCACAGAAAGGAAAAGATGATCAACAGGGGTACAAAAAGAAGGCGGCTTTTCATCTTAGTTCCAAAACATCACCAGTGCCAGGCCTCCCCATTTTCTCCAAGGCAC